GGGGGGGGGGGGGGGGGGGGGGGGGGACAAGAAGGACCCGGCGATGGGATTAAAATGGATACAGAGGCCAGGGACCCCTGTCCCCCCCTCCCCCCCGGGAAGAGGCGGCTTTCCTTCCTTCCCAATGGTTGTAGCGGGGTTCGTTCCTTCTCTGGCCCTAGGCCAAATTTCACTGAGAGCTTTTTAAAGTCTTTCTTCTATCGGGGATGTAGTTCCAACGACAGCAGACACCCCTGCCCCAGTAGTGTACTGAGGTTTCAAAGTGGCAAGAAAGAAAAAGGAACAATATATTTCGCACACACAAAATCACATGCCTCTGATCTAAAGTAGGTATCGCACCCAATTTCATGCCCACTATTGCTAGCACAGGCTAAGTGAACTCCCATTTCTCCTATAAAGTGTGGGCTGAGGGAGTAAAAGCAATCCATCAGATCTTGAATATAACTTGGCTAAACCAGGATATCTCAGCCATATCAGCTCCTTAATTAAATGCATATACTGCAGGAATGTGTTAGTGTGTGTTGGTTTTGTACTCACATGACAAATTAGCACTGCTTTTTATTCTACCCTGGAAGATCGTGAAGAGAAACTACTTAATGGAATTACAAAAGGTGCTACAAGGTATTTAAGGAATATTATGTAAACTATGTTAATCAGTTTTGATCGTGCAGTCCAGTCCTATTTGCTTAAAGAAGCTCCAGCGGGGCCTAGCTATATCATCTGTATCTGCTACATCATTGCAACGAAGGTAAAATGAATATGATGCAATCAAATAGTTAATCAATCAATGTCCAGGACACAGGAGATCCTAAATGGAAAGATTTGTTCTGTTGGCAACCAACCAGTCACTCCAACAGATTGCAGCTGCCTTGGCTAGTGGCTCCAAACAGCAGCGCAGGAAATGCAGAGTCCCCTATGGCACCACCACCAAGCTTCCAGAGCTTTCATCATTGCTCACACTGGTTTCCCAGAGAATGGGCATGCTGAATACAGCAGCCAGAACTGGGAAAGGAAGGGGCATAAGGGCGGTCTTCCTCTCTGCTCCCTCTGCTTGCAGTGCCCAGCCATGCTGGAAAGCACCAGCTGGCAGAAGGCAGCTTTAAGGCCTTGTACCCTATGAATCCCCAAATGTCACTAAATTCAATTGATTGACACTACATTTATTCAATTCATGGTAAAAGTGAAAATGCCAAGTTAAGCTTGAATAACCCTGGGCACCACATATACCCTCAGATATTCTTAGAAAATAAAGCCTGACTGCCCAGAAGAAGAAAAAGAAAGAAAAAAGAAAAATGGGATGACATTCTGGGGAAGTTAAGAGGAAAGAATCTCACCAGTGTGTATTTTGACAAAAGGATGGTTTAGGATTGGTCAGACCTTTTACGTGGTATCCACCGTGTGAGAGCAAAGTGCCAAATATATATATTTGTTTGTTCATTTATTTATTTAGCTATCACATTCTAGGCTGCCCAACTCCATAACAACCCTGGGCGGTTTCACCGATTAAATAAAAACAAAAAGAAAGCAACATTATATATAAAGAGCAACAGTCACCCCAGGGGAACAAACAAAATGCTCTCCTTACATCATCTCCTGGCTCAAGAAGCCTGCCAGATACAGAGTCCTCTCCCAAGGCTGGGGAAAGGACCGAGTTTTTAGAGCTTGCTTGAAAGCAGATAGGGTGCCTGCCTGCCCCCAAAACTTAGAAGCAGTTCAGTCCCTATCCATCCCTAATGCCTACTATGGAGAATCCAGATAGCTCATCCATTTTACTGTAGGCCTAAGTGATCGATCATCAGCTGGGCAGTGGATAACAGATTACTGCTTCCCAACCATAAAGACAGTGGAGAAGTAGCTATTTTTAGAACAAGTGCTGAAAAAGATGGAGACAAGTCCTCCACCCCAACTCTTTCAGTAATTCCCCCTTACAATTAGAAAGTTTTTTTTTTTCTAACATTCATCCATTCTGCCTTTCTATATTTATTCTTTTCATTGCACCCTAGGAGGATAGAACACAAATTATAGCCTTTTTCTATGGGATATCCCTTCAGATATATTGTCTCCATTTCTGGATGATACATATTGGGAAGGAATTCAGACAAATTAAAGCAAGTTCGGAGAAAGACATTGAAGATGATCAAATGATCAACTAAAACCTATGCAGAACAATTGAAGAAGCAGGGCATGGTTAAGCCGTGATAAGAGAAGTTACTTGAAAAAGTATCTTTATCATTTTAGACTACAGGACATGAAATAAACAGGGTAAGTTATAGGAAGTGCATTCAGACAACAGATAAAACAACCAGCCTTAGAACTGACAATGAAGATAATGAAGTGGTGGATAGCTCTTGCCTTTTATGATCAACCATCAACAGAAAAAGGAACAAGCAGTAAAGAAACATGCTGCAGACTAACACTCAGTAGAGCAGCCATGAAGGTCCTGGAAAAAATACTGAAATGCCATGAAGTGTTTATACCTACAAAGATCAGAATTGTGCAAGTCTTGGTATTCCCTGTGACACTCTATGGAAGCCAAAGTTGGACTTTGAAGGAGCAGGATAGGAAGAATATTGACACTGTTGAGCTTTGGTGTTGGAGAAGACTCCTGAGAACACCACGGACAGCCAAAAAAACCCAAACAAATGATCATCAAATGAATCAAACCAAAGTTCTCACTCAAGGCACAAATGACAAGGCTTAAATTATCCTACACATTATGTGAAGACCTAGCTCCCTAGAGAAAGCTCTAATGCTGGGAAAGGTGAAAGGAAAGAGAAGAGGATGACCAGGAGCAAGGTGGATGGACCACCTTATAGTGGTGATGGGTGCCCCATTGGAAGACCTAAAAGACCAGATTAGGGACATATCATAATGGAGAAAATCTATGTGGTCACTAAAAGTTAACAATGACTTGATGGCACATAATGAAATGAAATCAAAAGGAAAAGCAGTTCAACCATAAAGTCAATCACCCAAAGAGCTGATGGACTGTCCTTCTTATTAGTTAGATCCCTATTAGTTCCCTATTTGCTGAATAGCAGAGTTTTTTTTTTAAAAAAATCTTCATCCTTACACAAAAATAATCCACAATGTAAATCAGCAGAGCAACCTACACACTGTTTTACCATGGGGGGTTGCAAGGGCACAAGGGGCAGCATGTGATATTACATGCATCATGGCATCAGTGATGTAAATTATGTCATTTGCTTCAGTTGTGTGTGCAACTGACACAAGTTGCATAATTTGCCTCGTTATACACATTACAATCTCATAGTTCTATGAGATGCCTATGTTTTTACAGATGCATCCAGCATATATGTCTAGATCATAAATGTGGTGTGTTCTCCTTCCTCTCTCTCCCTGTCTCTCTGTCTCTGCCTACACTCCTTCTGCCTACACAGGTGTAGGTCTAAATGTGTGATCCACAGCTGAACAGCCAACCATGTTTGACTCTTCTCGGATCAAGGTAATTATCTGGCTAATGTTTAAGGAAATTGAAATTCAATGCAGCTGAAGAACACTGTTTGTAAGAAGGCTGGTCTACATGTGACCTGTAAATGAAGCTGTCTAATAGGATGCTACCAATCACAAATTTTATTATCATTTTGAAAAATCCCTGATACAATCTTATTGTGATCTGAATCAGAAAATTAATTCTTACTTACTTATTATGCTGCAGCATACTCCCAATCTGTGTTTAGCTTCTTGGATGCCAATCCCTGTTCTCAGGTGATCTCTCTCAGCCAATTGTTATACAGAGATTTGCAGCTGAACAGTAACTATGCAGTCTTCATAGAAATTGAACATTAAGGAATAATACAGAAAAAGAAACCACTGAGGAAAACTATAATGCTCGGTCAGAAAATGCCACCATTCCTGTTGCAAGGACTAGATCAGGTAGTCAGAATCAATGATCCTGAAACTAGAATTCACCATTACTATACCGACGCCCAGGTATCAACAGCTTTACCTGCCCCTACGTGAGAGGCTCACAGATCCAGAAAAGAAAAGTATGATTTAAACCTTGCTTCTGCTTTACGTACGGTTTGCATTTTACGTTTTCCAGTGCTCAGATTCTGCATTAACAGCTTTTCTAGTGTCTGTAATAAAACTAGATGATCAGGAGCTGTGTCCTTGCATCTCTGCCTGGGAGACTTCTAGTACTGGCATTAGTCCATAAGAAGTCTAACAATGCCTGAAACAATTTTATACCAGAATATATTTGGACCAGCAAAGTAGACTACAAAAAAATCCCTTTTCAGTTTATTCTTGTGAGTTCCTCAAAATAAGAATGAGATGAAATGATCATATTCCAGGACACACCAAAAATTGCTACCACAAAATATATCAAAGTCTAGGTCTGAACTTTTGTTGTTATTATATTATTATTATTTCATCATCAAGAAGTAATACAGGACAAAAAATAAACAAAAAGAATCACTTACATCTTTGACTGGTGTTCTTTGTAAATTCGAATGCCAGTCATAAAGCTAGGAATTATCCATG